GTCACATGACTCTATACAAGCCTGCCTGTGTCTGCTGCCTGTCCCTAGTCGCTGGAACGGGGATTTGTGTGGAGATACTACTAACGCCCCTATAGTGAACAGGCATGCACTGCTTAGGCGCTTGCAGAGAAATAACCACGACTAACTGACTCAAATGTGTACATCATTTCCAAATATGACCACGTTTCCAAAACAATTGGGATGCGGTGCAAAATGTAAATAAAAACAGCATGCAAATTTTGTGCATATCACTTTAACCCTATATTTAACTGAAAATAGTACAAAGGCCACATGTCAAAGGTTACAACTGAGAAATGTTATTGTTTTTTGAAAAATGAATGCCCATTTTGAACTTGATGCCAGTAGCATGCTTCAAAAAAGTTGGGACAGGGGCAACATAAGACTGGTAAAACTGCCAAAAAACCCTGGTGAAATATCTCAACTAATTAGGTTAACTGCAACAGGTCAGTAACATGATTGGGTATAAAAAGAGCATCCCAGAGAGTCTTTCAGTAGTAAAAGACTGTTAAAGACTGGGGGGCAAATAGTACAACAATTTAAGAGTAATGTTTCTCAGTGTAAAACAGCAAAGAACTTGGGGATTTCATCATCTATTGTACATAATATCATTAAAAGATTCAGAGAATCTGGAGACATTTTTCTATGCAAGGGACGAGGCCAAAAAACAATACTGGCTGGCCATGACCTTCAGGCCCTCAGATGGCACTGCATTAAAAATGGACATGATTCTGTAGTGGAAATCACTGCATTAGCTCAGAAACACTTCTGAAAACCAGTGTTGGTGAACACAGTTCAAATACACTGCATCCTCCAGGCTAAAAAGGAGAGGGACCATCCGACTTGTTATCAGCGCACAGTTTAAAAGCCAGCATCAGTGATGGTATGAGGGTGCATTAGTGCACATGGCATGGGTGACTTGCACATCTGTGAAGGTACATTATATTGCCAAAAGTATTCACTCACCCATCCAAATCATTGAATTTCGGTGTTCCAATCACTTCCATGGCCACAGGTGTATAAAACCAAGCACCTAGCCATGGAGACTGCTTCTACAAACATTTGTGAAAGAATGGGTCGCTCTCAGGAGCTCAGTGAATTCCAGCGTGGTACTGTGATAGGATGCCACCTGTGCAACAAGTCCAGTCATGAAATTTCCTCACTACTACATATTCCACAGTCAACTGTCAGTGGAGTCAATCGCTACAGACCTCCAAACTTCATGTGGCCTTCAGATTAGCTCAAGAACAGTGCGTAGAGAGCTTCATGGAATGGGTTTCCATTGCCGAGTAGCTGCATCCAAGCCTTACATCATCAAGCGCAATGCAAAGCGTCGAATGCAGTGGTGTAAAGTGCCACCACTGGACTCTAGAGCAGTGGAGACGTTCTCTGGAGTGACGAATCATGCTTTTCCATCTGGCAATCCGATGAACGAGTCTGGGTTTGGCGGTTGCCAGCAGAACGGTACTCGTCTGACTGCATTGTGCCAAGTGTAAATTTTGGTGGAGGGGGGATTATGTCGTGGGGTTATTTTTCAGGAGTTGGGCTCGGCCCCTTAGTTCCAGTGTAAGGAACTCTTAATGCTTCAGCAGACCAAGAGAGTTTGGACAATTTCATGCCCCCAACTTTGTGGGAACAGTTTGGGGATGGCCCCTTCCTGTTCCAACATGACTGCGCACCAGTGCACAAAGCAAGGTCCATAAAGACATGGATGAGCGAGTTTGGAGTGGAAGAACTTGACTGGCCTGCACAGAGTCCTGACCTCAACCCGATAGAACACCTTTGGGATGAATTAGAGTGGAGACTGCGAGCCAGGCCTTCTCGTTCAACATCAGTGTCTGACCTCACAAATGCGCTTCTGGAAAAATGGTCAAAAATTCCCATAAACACACTCCTAAACCTTGTGGAAAGCCTTCCCAGAAGAGTTGAAACTGTTATAGCTGCAAAGGGTGGGCCGACATCATATTAAACCCTATGGATTAAGAATGGGATGTCACTCAAATTCATATGCGTGTGAAAGCAGACAAGCAAATACTTTTGGCAATATAGTGTACTATTAATGTAAAATGATATATACAGGTCTTAAAGCAACATATGCTGCCATCCAGATGGCATCTTTTTCAGGGAAGGCTTTGCTTATTTAAGAAAGACAGTGCCAAACATACCTTTCTTCCAAATTTGATGCCTGCAACACGTTCCAAAAAAGTTGGGACAGGAGCTTGTTTACCTCTGTATTACATCACATTTAACAACACATATTAACAACACATTTTCCTTTTAACAGCACTTAATAATCAACTGGGGACTGAAGCAGAATGTTTTAGCCATTCTTCATTATACAAGTCAATCTCCATTAAATAAATTCTCAGCTGCACAACAGGCCTTTGTCATTGTATTTTGCATGTCATAATGCACCACACGTTTTCAACGGCAGACAGGTCTGGACTGCAGGCAGGCTGGTCTAGCACCCACACTCTATGAATATGCAACAATACTGCTGTAATACATGCAGAATGTGGCTCGGTGCTGTCATGTTGAAATAAGCATGAATATCCCTGAAAAAGACATGTGTTGCTCCAAAATGTGTATATATATCTATCAACATTAATGGTGCCTTCACAGATGTGTAGGTTCTCCATACCACCCCATACAATGACTGTGGCTTTTGAACTTTACGTTGGTAGCAAGCTAGATGGTCCTTGTTCTGCAGAACACAACGTCAAGCTCAGAGAAGTCAGCAGCATTTCTGAACGTTGTTGACATGTGTCTTAACCTGCTTTTGCGAATGCAGTAACGCACTGTGTTTACTGACAATGGTTTATCAAAGTGTTCCTGAGTTCATGTGGTGATATACATCACAGAAGCATGCCGGTTTTTAATGCTGCACTGTCTGAGGTATAGAATGTCCAGGCCATTCAGATGTGGTTTTGGTCCTTGCCCTTTACGCACATATTTTTCCAGATTCACCTTAATGAATCCACCCTTATGATTACTATTCACTGTATAGAGTTAAGTACCTAAAGTGCTTTCAGTCGTTTGCTGAGGAATGTTTTTCTTAAACTGTTTAATTTGCTGATGTATTTTTGGGCAAAGTGGTAGCCTCAACCCATCCTGGCTCGTCCCTTTCCTGGATGCTCCTTTTATACCCAAGCATGATTGCATTACCTGAAGAAGATGAACATTTCACAATGTTCCTAGTTTTAAACTGCCCCTGTCCCAGCTTCAGAATGGCAGGTATTTACATAAAACAATGAAGTTCATAAGGTAAAACATTAAACATCTTGTCTTTGTAGTGTTCTTATTTAAATATAGGTCAAAGTGGATTTACAAACCCCTTATTTTCTGTTTTTATTTGCATTTCCACATACTATTCAAACTTTTTTTACACTAGTTTGTATAACATCAAGTTTGTATAACATCAAGACCGTTTTTGCATTTACTTATTTGTGGCAATTGTTGTGTTGATGTAGTACATTTTATTTGTGTGGAAATGATGTACATATCTAAATCAAGCAAATTCAATGCACTACGTTTTCAGTGCTTGTGTCCAGATAATTTCCATGTGTGTGATTGTAAACGCAGTGAAAAAGCACCATCTTCCCCAACAATTACGACTCGGGACAAGGCTGTAATTTACACAGAACTGAGTACAGATGTCTATGGAATGCTGAAAGACAAGACTTTCCCAACACTGCACCTGAGAGACTGATACCAGTGATGGACATTTGTAATGACGGTTAAGTTTGTGAGTTGTTAAGCAATCCTTCACTCACAACAATCCTACCTTTTGACACAGCATTATTAATATGTAAAACACACATTGGAAACATGACTTCAGAGTTTAATACAAGTATAATGTATGAGTATGAGCAGTACATGCATTTAAGACAAGCCATTAACCTTAGAAAAAACATCATTGTCATCATCAGAAAACATGTATAAAATATTAGGGGCACAGCAACAGATACAAATAGCCAGAAAGCTAATCATGAATACCTAATTTACCTCACATCTAAAGGAAAAACTTGCTTTAAAATGATAAAAGACAGCATAACAATCCTGTGTGTTCCCACAGAAAATGGAATACATTGCAATATGTTGCCACAGTGTTCCAAAAGGTAAAAAGAATATATGTTCATGTATCATATTTTTGTATGGCTACTAACTTCAGCACACAGCATTGAACCGTTTCTCTCTCTGGGTAAAAGTACCTTCATTTAGTGTTTTTGTCATACTGTACTAAATTCATTATTTTGCCCACAAATGAAAAAAACTATTACCAGATATGTATGCATTTCTAATTAGTTAGTAATCAGAGCTAGAACAAGCATGGGTCCACTTCAAATACGGCTGCTAACTAATGGGATGGCCTATTTAACTTTTCTACACTCTTCTGCCTCCATGCTGCCTTTCTAATTTCCCTTCCTCCTGTATGACCTCTCCTCTCCTTTCCTCTCTTCTCCTCCACACCAGCCTGGCAATCGCTAGCATTTCAAAATAATTGCACAGTTATCCACAAATTAATGCCTAACTGTTTTACAACACACAGAGAGAAAAGGCCAAGCCAATTATTATTCTGTTTTCACCTTACAGAAAAGGATATTATGCTAATGATGCTCCCAACATGAGCATGAAAAAGCTTTTATTTCTGCCAACAGATGCTCCCAACCCCCATTCATTTTCTGATATGTACATTCACCACACACACACACACACACACACAAACAGATTTACCAAAATAGAAGAAAGTTTGTATATATATTTTTTATCGTATAACCACAGTGATTTGGTCAACTGTTCTATTTTCAAATCATTTTCAAAACTTTGACAAGAGGTGGTCTACTGGTGGCAGTTTTGAAAAGCAGCTCTGGAAAAGGTAGTATGACCTTCAGTGCCAAATGTTGGTAACTGATTAAATGGTTGAGTTATTTTTTTTTATTTTTATTTTTTTTTTTAATTTCGCTTACTGCAGCCTACCGAAATCACATGCACTGCTATAGCTGGCGAATCCATTATTGTTATTAATGTTCCTTGCTCACAGAAAATAAGTCATAATCTCTAGTTCACATTGTTTATGATTTTTTTTCTGCAAGCAAGGAACAGAGAGAACAATTCATAGCCAGTAGGAGAGATTATTTTAAAGCAGAAAGTCACCTGTGTGTCTGTGTGGTGAAGGAGAATCAGCACTCGAGTGCATGAAGAATGAGAAACCTCACACTTCCACTGTCGAATGAAGCTCCCACCTGAAAACACACACAAACGCACTCATGCACACACTCATCCCGCAAGAACATACAGAGCGTTTATTAAGCTGAGACCAGAAAAGCCGCAAGGGCTTTCAGTCATTAAAAAAATAATAAATAAATAATTAAAGAATCTCAGCATCCTGGTGCACATCCATCCAATGACTAAAAAGCCCTCAAATTAGCTGCAGTGCGCAAATGATCACTTAATGGGTTCAGTCCAATATCTAGTAAAAAAGCTAAATTATACTGTTTGTCACATTTTACTCATTAAAAAAAAACAAACATATAAAAAAATAAAAAGTGCTTTACCTCTTCTTCTTTCGCGCTGTTCTTTTACATTCTCACATATCCTTAACTGTGTGAGAGGCTTTAAACAAGAGCATGGCGATAGGAATGACTCCCTACAGCATGTGCATGTTTTGGGTTAATTTAATCATGATGTCAGCTCCCTAATAAAAGGTGATTAGGGAAGGAAAGATGCAGGTTTTACATGTTCCACAGCATCATGTCTCACAGGGAAACACACACTCTGCCTGACAAATGGCGTCCAGCTCAGATATTTAACTACATCTGCTTATTAACCAACTCAGACGCCCATAATTGGCACTTGAGCCTCTCATGTTAAATCTGGCTTCAGCTAAGATCATTTATCAGAGAGCAGGCAGACTGTCAGCAGGCTGCGAGTTAGGGCTGGGGAGCTGATGAACCCAGATTAGATCCCGATTAAGCCATGGGTGGGGTAAAGTGGGGCAGAATCAGCAATCACACATCTGATCTAATATTCACACCACACATTTGGCATTATGTCTAATGAGTGAATATGAGGCATTGAAATCAGGGGACAGACCAAATGGCTATAGTCATGGGAGAAGTATTTCCGCCGTTGCATTATGCAGAACGAGTTGCATGGGCCCATTATATTTTTCACTTCGGTGTGATGTGAATAACGGGATCTACATGTAATAGTTTTCAAAAGAAGCTTTAACTTTTGACATAGTGAGAGAAAAAAAAATCTTTTTTAAAATACCATCAAGTCCTGTGCTGTATTCTCAAAAAGTTTTCCAGACAACTGAAAAGGAAATATGATAATGAAACACAGATAAACAATGAATAATTCATGGGGGTAAACATTTTGCTCCATCTGAAGAGCTTATGCATAATTTATATGATTATTTCACTGTATTTTAGCATTTGCTTTTAAGCCACTTCCACACTCATGCTAACCCATTTTATCAACACTCTCATATGCTGTAATCATAATTCACACAGCTCAAAGAGAGATGCGCTGCTGTTAAGGGAAATGTTTATTGCAGAACGGATTTGATAATCCATCAGAAAAAGAAACAACTACTTTCTATATTTGGTTTTGTCCGTCAGACACTATAAATGGAGCCAATTATACATGAATGGAAATTTGACAGTTCTGTTTTCACTCAAAGTGATGCTGTTTTGTGCTAAGTCACCAAATCACTCGGAGCAAAACTCACTACATGCGCAATATTCTACCTCCATTTTAACACTTCAGGTTGCCTCTTTTGATTACCTCTGCATAGCAACAAACAGCCAGGGTTAGTGTGCTACCTATAGAAAGTTTACAGAAGTCATGTGTTTATTTGCACATGCAAATGTAAGGGTATAGAGTAAAATTAGTGCTTTGTTTGCACTGGTCATGTATGCATGCAAGGTATGTGAGCCTGCATGTATATGTGTGCACTTTATAAATAAAGCTTGAAAAACAGGAGTAGGTAAATGTACATAATTACAGATCATGATGGTAGTGACCAGCTGCAGGTAACACAAGCCCACCATTCTCTCTCTCCCTCTCTCAGACAGGCTTTGGCAGCCTCTTTGCTCCCAGAGTCTCCAGCTGTCCAGTGGGGTGCGCCAAGTCACAGCAGAAGATCCTGCATTAATGTCTCCTCTCACTCTCTCTCGCTCTCTTTCCGATGGAGGAGGCTGATGGACCTCAGCACGCTGACCTCACACCCTGCCCTGCCGCTCTGACCCTGCTGACGGCCTCACGATGGACAGAATCTGCGATCCTGAAGATTCCAACACACAGAGAGAGAGATAAAAACAGAGAGAGATTTTCACTAAATAACCGGATACAGTGAGTGAGATAATAATGTAGAATAACAAATCCATTAGAACTCTTCAATATTTTAAAGGCAAAGTTCTTCTCGATCTCGTCTCTAAAACTGCTCTTCCGTTCTGACTATATTATCACTATGTTCCACTCCATTTTGTCCTTGGAAGTGATGATATGTGTGTGTGTGTGTGTGGTAATGTGATTAATAATGATGACATGACAGTAAATTAATAGCTAGTTAAGTCATTAGAGAGAGGTGTTTAGTCATCACGTTATTCATTTGCATGCCATCTCACCCTACAGACACTTTAAAGGAACAGGGACCATTTCTTCCGACTGTGAGTTGATTTGAGATTTACACTTGGTCATTTTTTCTTATACTTTTGGCACCTATGCTGATAACACCGGCTGTTTCTTAATACTGCGGACCATCCACAATTAATGTAAATAAGCCAATTAAATGAATCTTATATATACCATGCCATGTTCTTAACACAAGACAAACAAAAAGTTTTATTTTGAGCACACACATTATATATATATATATATATATATATATATATATATATATATATATATATATATATATCAAATTCCACATTACGGTGAAGGAAGTGAACCTGCTTCTGTAAACATACTGTACATGCAGATGGTGGCATCAAAGTGGTAGTTGTCACGTTAAACATATTGGGCGCCATGTGTAGGTAATTTCTATACTGTTTTTAAATGCTTTATAAATAAATATTTGCATTGTGCACAGCTTTCAGGCTGTCTGCAACTGTACCGAGCTTTCCTTTAAGCGGTCCAGTAACATCATATGCTGTGATTTTTGCAAAACCTCTCAGTGCCTACAGGGGGCTCTAGTGTACCACAGATTCTGCCCCAGTCAGCTCTATAGACCTCCACTCTGAAACTACTCTACCCTCACAGCTGCTTTCAATGGAGCGACCCTTTAAGCAGCTACTCCAATCACATCAAAACAAGCAGTCTAAACAAACACAGCATAAGTGGCAAGACATGCTTTGATAAAAAGTGCTACATTAAAAAAAGGTAAGTTATTTTTCATTTCAGTGACAGGAATAAGTTAGCCAACATCATCAAAGAGGGCTTATAATGTTTTCTACATATATTTCTGTATATGTATATGAAATACATTTATTGCAGTATTTTAAGCTATATTTATATGTATAGGTTTGTGTGCATGAGTGTATGTGTGTGTTTCTTGTGTGTATCTTTCTCCCTGCGAAATTCTCTGCTAGTGAGCAGCAGTTGATGAGTGGGTCGGAGAAGCGTCTGAATTTTAATGATGTTGAAGATGATATTGTGTGTCCTTCAGCTTGTTATACTGACACCAGCACTCCATAAATCATCATATCAGGCTATCGTAAAATCGATACCAAACTGCAACCTCAGCGCCAGTGCGTAATACGTTTCTCAGTCATCTAACAGCTTAAACTTTGCTGTAATGCCGTTCGACCTATAGGTTAAGATCAGAGCATGCTTAATTTGTTTGGTAATAGAGACTTTCTAATCCGTAATGGAGTGTCTATTAGCTGAGCTTTGGTGGGCACACTGGTGATCAGTTGGTGGAACAGTCACAGCAATTAAGTTTGTATCTTTGTCCTGGAGCGAGAAAAGCCAGCTTAGACGCTCAATAAATGTTAATCCACTGAGGAGTGCTGTGTGCCTTTGAACAGGACTCACGCCGGGTTTTTTCCCATGCGTTTGCTTTCATCCCTCTCTTACTGCACTGGCCTCCCCACAGGGAGCAGAATCTGGACCCTGCACCCTGGAGCCTGTTGGAAACACAAACACACATACACTTGTTCTTCTACAATGTAAGGATGTGGGGTCATACACGTGTGTATTACATATACAGTACTATGCCAAAGCCAGAGACGAACCTATTTTTTTATTCAAACCTGTTTATTTAATTTATGGTCAAAATGTAACGAAATTCAGTGTAAGTTATTCTGTTTTTTATCAGAAAAAAGCAGGAAACATATATTTAATAGAAAAGTGCAATGTTACAAGTGTAATATCAAATCAATCAGTATTTAATTTGTCCACTTTTCACTTTTGTCACCCTTTTGCCACAAATCTTCCATCCTTCCAGTCTTAAATCAACAAGTTACAGCTATGTCCTCCCAACAAAAGCTGTTCCCAAAGGTGTCACTGATATTATGTTCCCCTTCAATTAGACACTGACATTCACACAAGCAGCTACCCATACCCACCTTAGCTGCCCTGCCAATTTCTTCCTAAAGTGCATCTACAATGGCTAAAGGAGATGTTTCTAAGGAGATTAGATAGAAGGTAATCTACTTGCATAAGAAAGAGGAAAGTCAAAGGAAAATAAGTAAAAGCGTGTTTACAAAACTGGAGTTTAAAACTGTCCCCATCAGATAAACAGTACTTAAAGCTTTCATCTTTGAGATATGGAAGTAAATCAAGCTCCACTCTTGCTTTTAAATCTGAAGAAATCCACAGGTGATTCTGTCCATCCTTCTACTGTGAGAAGACAGCTCAACACAATGGGTCTCACAGGATGTGTAGCTGTGAAGAAACCTTTACTGAGACAAAGAAACACAAAAAGTACAAAATAACTAGAATACTGAAACTGGACATTTGAAATGTGAATAAATCAGTTTAAATCTGAACTTGGGATTACTTTGATCGTCAGATGCAGAAAATGCAACCAACTTCAAAGACTGAACTTTGGAAGTGTGGAAACATACCCCTGTAGATTTCTTCTGAAAAACTGTAACCAACCCCCCTGCAGGAAAAAGCAAAGTGTAATGGAGGTGGACGAGCTAAACACTGAAAAATTCATATCATATTTAGTTGTTGAGGCTTCTGTGTAATTTTCTGGCAAATATATGTTCCTGATGCTGAAATATATTCTTAATGCTAAAAAATGAATAGCTTGTACTTAATGGCTGTTTTGACTGGAATTTAAATAAATGAAATAAATGACTTTTGCAAAGTACTGTACACATAATGTAACTACACATACGTACTAAGAACTCTCTAAACATTATCCTTAGCCTAACCCTAACCTTAAATTCAACAACAAAGAGAAATGGAAAGAAAGAAAAGAAAAAGAAACATCTAGCTGGGATTATTTTGTTGGTCCTGATATCCTAGTTCATACCTATATTTTTCTTGTTGTAGGACTGAAAATATGTGAACAAAAAACACACATATACATTTATACATACATAGAATCTACTCACATACCCTGACACGTTTTCACACATGCACACACCTGGTCACACATACACACACAGCATCAGCACAGTACTCATTAGCCACACTATTAAAGAGCTTTGTGTAAAACACTACACATAAAAGCAGTGACGGAAGTTGTTAAGCTGCATGAGGTATATGTAGGGGCTTGCGCATGCATGTGCAGAACAGGAGCAGACTGGGTATTACCATATAACAAACTATGTAGTTCTGCATCTCTACATGTTCTCATTTCATTCCTATATTTCCTCAAAATAGGGGAAAAAAGAGTGTAATAACGCCTTGTGGGATTGGTTTTAGAATTATTGCTCTAAGCAGGACAGCGCTCTCGTTTCAGAGAAGCTACATATGTAACGGGCCGGGCACAGGAGAGGAGCTCGCCGTGCAATCTGTGAGCCGCAAACAGCTTATGAAAGTCAAATGGAAATGTGGCATAATCTGACAAGTGGAGTCTGTGCTTCAAAAACAACCCTAACAATCCACACAGAAAAAAAAAGAGTACACACGCTCATATGCGCACACACACACACACACACAAAAACAGGAATACGTGCCACAGGAAGTGACTGTGACATGTTTTTCACTGCTTTTCAGGTGCTTAACACACACATGCATACACACATACACACACACAAACAGAGACCCTTGCCTAAGGGAAATTAAGCATGTGCTTAGCGTATTCTCCAGTATCCAATGCTGTAGTGAAGGGGAGGCAGGAAAAGTTTTAGTGTTTAGCACTAACATTAACTCCATCATTAGTGTAGTGCTGTGTCATAAATGCAGCTTAGCGCCCCACTGAGCTCCTCAGCCCTCAACACGCTCATCATACACCTTCTCTACTCACTGCCTGATGGGCCTTCTTGTCCGTAGTAAATAAGGAAAGCCCATATTCTACTAAAGGCCTCACTACTTGTCTGTTTATGTGATCCTGTGTTGGAGCATTTTCCAAAATGAGACAAAGACACAAGCATGATATTGGACTCAGGACACCAGCAGTAGGTGTCATTCACCCTGAGAAAGACACATCACCAGCAACAGATGAGTTAAAAGGGCCTGGCCAGTACAGTATAAAACACACACTGAAAAAACTGATTCACTGCTTTTATTCAAAAGTATACATCATATCCACATGAATACAATCATGCAAGACCTGGTAGACCACCAAAACTGTCACCATCAGATAAACAGTACTGCTCAGTAAAGCTGAGAGATAGGAGAATCACTCTTGCTTCAGAACAAAAATTCTGAAAAAATCAACAGGTGTTTGTCTATTCTTCACATGTGAGAAGACAACTCTATGCTATGGGGGATGTGTATCTGTCAAGAAGCCGTTACTGAGAAAAAGAAATGGACAAAAAGGTGGAAAAATTGCAAATCCAACAAAGAAGCTATGGTTCTCAAAAAAGTGGACTGACCACCCCAGAGTCCAGACCTCAGCATCAAGGAATGTGTTTGGGATTATTTGGATCATGAGAAGCAGCACATAATTCAACTAACTTCTAAGACTGAACTTAAGGGTAGGAAGGGATGGAACATAGCCCAGCAGATTTCTTTGGAAAACTGAAAGCAAGCCACCCAGAAAGAATGGAAGCTGTTATAAAGGCAAAGGTGGGCACACTAAACACTGAACAAATTATATTATATTTAGTGGTTGAGGCTTCTGTGTAAGTTTCTGTTACACATATCTTTTCTGATGCTGACAAATGAGAAACTTGTACTTAGATACCATTTTGACTGGAAGTTCAATAAATGAAGAGTGGACTCTGGCTCTGATTTCTTGACCTTGATATGTGACTTACTGAGGCTTTAAAATTTCAGTGCAAGTTTTTCACCATGAAGGGAATATTTAAGCATCGTTGGTGTTGAGACTGCATTTATATCAAACAAACCAATCACATTAACCCATTTGTCGTACTCTGAGTTTTGTGTGACAAATTCCTGCTAGTAGCCCTTATTTAATGTTTGCTTTCAATTCCAAGTGTTACAAGATAAAACATATTACCTGATGTACCTTTAGCTGTTTTCAGCTTTGCAATGGTGCTGCCAGGGTGGTAAAAGAAAATCAAGTCTAGACAATCAACTCTAGAAATATCAGATAACACTTTCATTGACTAGTTTACAGCATAATGAATAGAGTATTTCCATAAAACGGTCTTTGCAGATGGTGAAAGAGCTGTCAATTCCCATTACAGAAACCTCTTCACTGTTTCCATCATTTTGCACTCTTAGCATGCCTGTGCACCTCAGTGCCTTTCCACTGTGTACACATTCCTCTAAACACTATTTTTATGAGAAACATGTGCACAGAGGCATCCTCTTAATGACTGCATTAACACTCACTACACAGACAGAGATCACAGACAGAGACAGAGAGAAAAGCAGAGACTGACTGTAAAACAGTAATCTGCCTGTATGTGAGAATGACAAGGCCTCCCAGGAGGCTCTTCTGTGGATGACCAGGGGTCTGCAGGGTAAGAGTGTGTGTGTGTGAGTGTGTGTATGCAGTTTTATGGGCTGAGAGTTGGATTGTCAGTGTGGGAATTTGAGGGCACCCAAACCGTGACCTCCCACTTCTCAAAAAAGTCATATATATCATCCAACTGCTGAGTACTGCAGAAAAGTACTTAGATTCTCTCTCTTTCTCTTTCTCTCTCTCTCTGTCTCTCTCTCTTTATTTGGTTCATATTGTTTTTTAAGCAGCTTTTCAAAAGTCCTGTTTATGCCACATCTTTAGACGTGTTCATTTACACATATATATATATATATATACACTCTTAAAAATGGCAAACAAGGTTTGGAACAATGCCACAGAAAAAGCACTTACGGTTCCCTAAGGAATCTTCTAACCAACGTTTTTTTAATGCAAAATTCTCATAGAGAAAATACTCTTTAGGCCAAACCCCCTGAATATTCTACACAAGGTGGTGTTATTAGCACTCAAGCAGTTTTCGTGTGCATCTTTCAAAGAGAAGAAAAGAGAAGAAAATGACCTGAACCCACACCAGGCTAGGCTAAAGTATGTACTGAAGGGTTCAGAGTACAAGCTTCCATAACTAAGGCAGAGTTGCGGTAAAAAACATTAAGTCCAGTGGAACACTGAGTATACACCACAGTTAGCGTGATATATAACAAATTCCACAGATGTACTAGTGGAAATTAGCATTATCTTTGCAGTGGTAAACATGAAGAAAAATGGATGCACTACAGAATGCAACAAAATACGTCTTTATCATGCCATTCAATCTGTCTGATCTACTATAATACAAAAGAAAAAAACAGTGACTATCAAGCACAGCTCATGTAGCCGCTTGAACAAGCTCTGCTGTCTCATTAAACAGAAAAAAAAAAAAAAGACATTGTCTTCTATATTTGTGCTATAATTTCCTGTTTATGTGTGCTTACACGTCTCAATAGTTGCTGCGGTGGTGAACAGTATTTAGTGTTTTAATCATTTTTACATTTTTACAAGACTTGCGTAATTATATATATATATTGTGACAATGCCTGTTTATATATATATATATATATATATATATATATATATATA